GTAATTGTGAATACATTGAAAAAGTAGATTATTACAAATATTTAGGTGTTTATTTTGACTACCGAATGAGGTGGTCAGAGCATGTAGATTTCTTAAAGAAAAAGATTCGTAAATACATATATGCTTTTAATCAACTGAGTGTCATTTTGGACGAGGAGGACATAAAGAGAGCTTATTTCGCTTATGTACAATCATTGATTTCATTTGGTATTATCTGCTGGGGAGCATGCTATCACACCACCTTGGAACCCTTGAATGTGGTCCAAAGATCAATTTTGAAAGTAGCTTTTAGAAAAAATAAAAGGTACTCCACTGATGCGCTATTCCGTGAGACGGGAGTATTACCAGTCAGACATATTTTCATTCAGTTTCTTCTTAGTCACACATTCAAACACTCAAACACGATCCTTACAGCAGTCACACATCAACACTACACAAGATATTCACACAATGTTGGAATATCTGTCCCTCAGCTACATAAGTCAGTTCTAACTACCAACTGTTTTTATGTTGCTCAGATTCTATATCGAAATCTAATTCAAAAATATAATATTCAACACATTTTTAGTTTACCCTCAATACAGAAATTAAAAAAACAGATGCTTGTTTTACTGCACACGATTACCAATGAAGAGGCCGAAACTTTGATCAGACCTAACCTTACTTGACCCTGACTAAACAATCCTTGACCCTTCGACCCCCCTCGCCCTCACAATGTCTCCTGTCTTAGATTGCACTGGCTTTGGTTGTCGTCGCCGACATTCTCTTATCCGCTAAACGATCAAGTTTAATTAACAAGGCTTAAAAACCTTCCCAATTTTAGTGTGTGCCCTCAATTTGCTAGACTGATAACAGCCAGGCCTACGCACAGGCACCTGCCCATGTAGGCCTATCCCATAAGTAAGGCAATTTTATTTTATTTTAGAAATATTGTACTGTTAGTTGTATAGCTACTCTCTGTTTTAGTTTATATTCTTGGGATAAATAAACGTTTTTCATTTTCATTTTCATTTTCATTCATTTTCCAGCAGCCCACGGTAGAGAGTCAGCCCCTACCATTATATACTGGGGCAGAAGTGTGGTGTATCCGCTGTGAGACACATACAGCCACGCCCCCACACCCAGCAGACCACATGCTGATAGTTGCAACAACCACAGATCATGATTACACAGAGAGTAGCTCCAGCAGCCTACGGTAGAGAGTCAGCCCCTACCATTATATACTGGGGCAGAAGTGTGGTGTATCCGCTGTGAGACACATACAGCCACGCCCCCACACCCAGCAGACCACATGCTGATAGCTGCAACAACCACAGATCATGATTACACAGAGAGTAGCTCCAGCAGCCCACGGTAGAGAGTCAGCCCCTACCATTATATACTGGGGCAGAAGTGTGGTGTATCCGCTGTGAGACACATACAGCCACGCCCCCACACCCAGCAGACCACATGCTGATAGTTGCAACAACCACAGATCATGATTACACAGAGAGTAGCTCCAGCAGCCCACGGTAGAGAGTCAGCCCCTACCATAGCATACTGGGGCAGAAGTGTGGTGTATCCGCTGTGAGACACATACAGCCACGCCCCCACACCCAGCAGACCACATGCTGATAGCTGCAACAACCACAGATCATGATGACACAGAGAGTAGCTCCAGCAGCCTACGGTAGAGAGTCAGCCCCTACCATAGCATACTGGGGCAGAAGTGAGTAGTGTGGTACAGACACGGTGAGACACTAGACACATACAGCCTCCACCTAGCAGACCACATGCTGATAGCTGCAACAACATGTGCTGATGCTGATAGTAATGAGTTTGATACCATTAAAACATGGTGAAGAACCTTGCTAAAAGAAGTTACACTATAGACATTGTCAGTATATAATTTTCTCCATTGAACTTCTATGACGGTTAAGCAAGCTAGTTAAAATCTGGAAACAACTCTATGTTACTTCAACCACTTTAATTTTAGCCGATTTCCATCCCTAAGGCTTATTATTAGTCATTATTATATCATTATCACTAATTAGTAACAGCATGGAAGCAATATGGTAGGAATATATGAGGGGAAAAACCACATTACCAAAAATAATTTACGTTGTTTAATTATAGTTTGTTTCTTTTTGTTGAATTGAGGTTGATACCATTGAAATTGTTCATTTTTGACAAATTATATGCGTAGTTTAGACATCTAAAAAGTACATGAATGGTTTAAGTAGTTTAGTTTGTAAAAGTTTGTATATATTTGCACAAAGTTAACAGTGATTGTTCATCAGCTTCAAACAAGACAGTGATTGAGTTGAAAAAGAGTTGATTGCTAACTGGCACTTTTATGACTACCAGGGTTTACAGTTTTCTTTGATAGTTATAAAGTGATGTTCCTATCAGTTCGACAAAATCTTGTATTCAGTCACTATGCAATCTACATGCTAAATTATTATCTTTTGTCACTGCATCAACAAGACTAATGAACAACCTCAACCATGGAATCTATCATATACTGTGCAAATATTTATGACCACTTTAAAATTTCCTTCACCTCTCATGCTCTTTTTTACATCTAAACACTTGACTCCATTAATCTATACCAAATTTTGATTTAATTACAGTAATAAATAGCAATTGACATCTCAGACCACAGAGATCAAATCAAATAACATGATTTATACTTGGCAGAAGAACCAAATTTCCTTTGTGATGTTTTTTGCTACTATATGATGAGATTAATTGTTGCAAAGACATGGGAACCGGCTATAATAGAAGTGGGTGGAGTATAGAACCTTTGACTATTAAAAACAATTATTAATACTTCAGTATCCAATAGTCAATGATAGAACACTGTGTTCATCTCAGATTTGAGCTAGCTCGCTTGATGGAGACGCTTGGTGGAGACGCTAGGTGGAGACGGAGACGCTTGGTAGTTTTCAGGGTGGTTTTCCATAAAAAATTAATTAAATGTTCATCTCAGATTTGAGCTAGCTTGCTTGGTGGAGACGGAGACGCTTGGTGGTCTGGTGGAGACGCTTGGTAGTTTTCAGGGTGGTTTTCCATAAAAAAATTAATTAAATAAACATTTTATAAACTATTTTCATGAGATATTCATATGGATTTTATTATATTGACAACAACATGGAATGGTAGTTAACTTTTTTTCATAGTTCAAGTTATCCATAGTTAGATATGCTTAGAAATTTCCTGAAAGTTTTAAAAGATTGATTTTTGAAACCATTCTTTCTCATCAATGTACTTAATTATTATTTACAAAAATACACTATTTCCTCATTTATACAACTTTAGGAGGTATTAAAGAAAACCACAGCATTTACAACAGAAGTATGGTTAGAAATTTGGTTTGAAGTGGTTTGAATTTAAGATTATTGTTGGGCAATTTGTAAGCAGTATTTTTGTGAAGCGTGCAGCATTTTTCAAAGTTTTTGCATAGGAATTGTCCAAATTCTGTTCCCGATACTATTAAGAAGAATATATTGGTTTACACTAAACATTACCTGTTTGAAAGATGCATCAATCAATCATTGATTGACACATTCTTAAAAATTATAACAGAAAACACTATACTAATGAATGAGTTACAGGTCCTTTAGGTATCAAGTTAACTACAGTAACAATTTTGCAACAGAATCATTAGAAAAACATTTTGTAGAAATCTGTCAGTATGATGATAGGTACCATTGACTATTGATACAATATCAGTATCCAATAGTCAAAACTCAGTGTAAAATCAGCAACAGTCAGTAGTAGGCTGTGTAATTGTAATTAACTAACATATGTGTCCTTGGAATTGTATGGTAAGCTATTGCCAAGGTAGTTACAAAAGTTGTTAGATTCTAAAATTGATGATCAAGAACAATATCAATAATTGATCTCAATCAACATCGGTAAGGTTACCCCCAACCACAAAAACCTCGAAGCAATTAAACAATTGATCTTACAAATAAATTTTATATGGACACATTATTATTAAATTTGAATGGAATCCAACTAATATACAGGAGAACACAAATGATCAGTATTGTGCTAGTTTCCTTATTGTTTATATTCATGTAACCTTGCCAGTTCGTTATTGTTCTAAATAACACTTGATATAACTTGCCATCTAATCTGAGCAACAATAACAAGGTCAGATGAGTTCTAATTGTAAAATTTAAGAAAAGTAAATGTTGAAAAGCAAAACATAATCTGCTCATCACTTCAATAATCTAAAGTTAGTAAAATATTGTTCGGGTATACAGTTGAACCTCTTCTATAAGACGAATTTCAAGGGGTACGGGAAAATTCGTACTATAGAGGTATTCTTAATAAAGAGGGTTGTTTTATCGAGGTTTAATCCTGCTGTTATTCTTCTTATAGAGGTTTCTCCTCGCTCCAAGGTTTCTCCAAACAATGACTGAGGAAGGAGGAGGGATGGGTGGGGGTTTCATGTTGAGACAAGCTTCTGTTTGTTTTGAAAACTACGTACTATGGAGGTTAAAATTATGATAAATTCGTCTTATAGAGGTCATGTTCGTCTTGTAGAGGTTTTGTGCTAAGAAATATTCGTTGTATAGAGGTTAATCAGCCCTAGCCAATGTCACAAACAAATTTGTCTCATGGAGGTTTTTAACTTAACTACTACGTTGTACAGAGGTGTTTTTAGCATTGACCTATATGAAAGTGTCAAGGGGATTTAAAAAAATTTGTCTTATCGAGGAATTCGTTTTATCGAGGTTCGTACAAACGAGATTCAAATATAGTATTTGTGAGTATTCGTAGTGTTGTAGTATTGTTCGGTTTATAGTCACATGCAAGCCAGAGCTAGGTGACTGCAGTGATGAGACCCAGCAATGAATGGCTCTATCTTCCCAAGACCTGCTACTTAGCCTCGGTGATGAGGAAAAAGAAATAAAACATTATTAATTTATTTCTTGATTTGTACATTAGGTTTAGTAATAAGACGTTGAACAACAGGTAACTAAGAAGGGAATGTGACAAAATCTTACCCAAAGTATAATGTTGAGGTAGCAGAAGATGTATCTGACGCAGGTATAGCCACTCTTTCCCATGCTTCCTACTGTATCTGCAACAGAAATATTCAATTAATGTTTGATTTAGTATTTTGAATAAAAATTATGATAACGTGGCTTAGTTCCATATACTCTATTATGAGGTCGGAAGCCTCTTTTAAACTTGCATTTGCCAACCCACATAAGGTCTCAGGCCAGGTTATCAAAATGTCTTAATTTAGCACCAATTTCCAGAGCTTTTTTACACCAGTGGAATTTTTGTTGTTGTCAACGTGAGAATAAACGCTTAAAGCAGTCCATAACCACTAGAGTTTGGTGGATGTACCAGGAACTGAACCCAAACCAAAGTCCGAGACGCTAACCACTAGGCTAGAAACACAATCAATTGCATGATTAAATTTTTTTAAATAGTTTCAGATGCTATATAAATAAATTTTTTGTTATGATTCAAAAATTTTAAATCCTTATGTTGGCATCAAAAGGAAATATAGCCTATTACTGCATTAAAGGTGTTCATGTTAACACTTGATTCGTAATTAATTGATGTTCTAATTATACTGTAACTAACTTGTCTGGTAACAACCAGATCAAATTAATTTTAATTTCTAAATTTCGCAGACGGTAGTGCCCAATTAACAGTGTTGTCATCATCACCTTAATGCGGAAACTCCCAGGCCAATTAACAATGTAACATCAATTAATTGTGACAAAACAGCTGATATCAGGCAGACGATGTTGCAGCAGCTGTTTGACGGGAGACTGAGAAGGTAGAATAGCGGAGAAAAACAGCGTGTCTAAACATCCACGTTGGAATAACGGCATCAGAGACGTCCGCTAGCTGGACAAAGGCGATGACCATGATGACAATGATAGTTAAGACGAAACAAAGAGCAATTCTCTACTGTAGTGAAGAAGATAAACTGGACAATTTCATCATAGAAAACGTTGCACAAAAATATATTTGGTTTTCGGTTCAGCCCTTTAATGGCTAAAAAAACTTGATTAGATTAGGCAAATTTATCCTAACCAAATCCCAACACACAATGGGGCGTGTTTTAAGGAGAACAGGAGTTAAGGATAAGTTGAATAAATAAATTACAGCATTTGTTACCGACTAACTGATTAAACTGAGTACGCTCACACTACAAAGTGTTCTGGAGGTTATTGCATATACACATATGAGGACGTAATTCAAAATATAATGTTGTTTTTATTTTACCCTAACACGTTGATATGATTAGTTCGAAATCATTATAAAAGGTGTACAGTATAAACAAATACGTGTATTCAACGTATTTAAATAGACTACAATTGCATAGTTAAATACCCCCGCCGCAGCAAACCTGCAGTGCGAATTTACATTTGCCTGATTGAATTTACACCAAAATGTTTCCTTAAAAATATCACATTTATTTGTTCCCTATTTAAATATAATTATTTTAACGAGTACTTAGGTTTGCAACAGGGAGGGTAAAAGTTTGTTTGTAAAATGTTAATAAAAATAAGTGTAAGAAATAAATGCATTTTCAAAATTTGATCAAAATATGTTGATAAACATGCAAACTACAGCAGTTTACTTATTCTCCATAAGAATAACATGGTCATTTAAAATTTACAATTTTTCGGAATTTTTTCCGTGACCATTAGGCGAATAATAACGCTTCAGTATACTAAATTATTAGTTTTTCAATCTTTACAAAATGGTTTGGAAAGAAATTGCTTAATTTTATTTTTATTGGGTTAAAAATGTGAAAATCCAATTTTTACCCCATAAAACTCCCGTTCCCATAGTCCGATCATGCTGGTTCGCATACTCGTTTGAATAAATGTAGGTTTACACGTTTAGACCAAATTTAATGAAAATCGGATCATTTTTGCTCGAGTTATCGTGCTAACGGACACACATATACATATATAAATTTGAACGGATGGTGTTTTAGGGACCTCAAAACGAAAAAGTAAATCGGTTCCGGGTCCAGGTCTTACCTTGAGTACTACGGTAATAGCTTATTCCCGATATGGGAAAATCGCTAAAAATCCCATAAAATATGTTGAACTTTGTATGATTTTTATATTAAAACTGTTTTTGGAGGAGTGCATTATACCCTGAAAAAATATACGTTTTGCCTCCTCATGAACAATTTCATGCGGGCGGCCTGAAACTGAGATAAGATTTAAACAAGTTGACTACAACCATTGGGTATACACGTGCTAAGTGTCCAATGCACTCAATGCTACAACGATATTGAAACTTACAAAGCACATTAGAAAATGACAATTGCTGAAAACAAAAGAATTCCAAGTTAGTCGTCCTACATTAAAACCAAACTTTACTGATTGTGTCTATTATCCATTCTATTCCAGAGCGCACTGAAGTTGTAGAGGCAAGGCTCATTTGCATGTTGACTATTCAAGGAGACTCAGATACCATCTAGAATGTCCAGGAGTGGCTTTCCTATATAAAGATTAATCCCCAGCCGTCTCCGACCACTTTGAACATATTGTTTCGACTTTAATTATCTTTTCTGACTATTTAACAAGCCTTCACCTCCGGGGATTAAAAGAGATTAAAATATGTTCTCTTCTACTGGTTATACTCGTATATCAAATTGAATAGGTAACAGTTGGATTAGCGTTATAATTCTTGTCAGTGAGGTACGGATAAAATAAAAGATGTCTTCCAAAATCACTAGATTTGTTGACTCATTTAATTATCGTTATGAATTTAAGAAATACCATAGGCGTAGGGGTTGTAGATGGTAAATTTATATAATATAATGTAAGAAATTGATTTGGGCCAGTTATACATGTTATGATAAGTCCAACCTGAGACAATGTTTTGTTCATATAATCTAGTACATTTACAGCGTTGGTGTAAATACATCGAGGTGTATTGTAGAATATTTGGATTGTCTAGTTATAATTGTAACATATTTATTCAGTTTGCATATTTAAACAAAATTACAGAAAAATGTAGAGCATTTATCACTTTTAGAGCTTTCATCATAATTCAGGTATTCCTATCTTTATTGGTTTGGTCAAAGTCCATCTCAATTTTCATTTGTGGTTATAAGGAACATTTTTCAAATTCAAATCACTCATTGTATCACCCATGGACATTCCTTAAAAACAATATTTTTAGTTGTACAGTTAAATTTAAAGGCACAAGGTATCAAAATGAGTAACAAATATAAAACGTTACAGTTATCCATTTTTACAACATAAAATAATACAGAAGTCTATTGCTAATAATACAGTATACTGAAAATCAATCATTTATATTACTCTGTCATCAAATATTCCGGTTAGTTTTTTATTCAGAAAAAACATTTGATGCAGGAAATAAGTTGATGTGTTTACAATGGAAGAAAATTATTTTACAAATTAAAAATTAGTACTCAAAACCTAGAATTAAAGAAATATAAACAAAATTAAAACAAATCCTCACTGAAGAACTTCTGTGAAAAATGAATAACAATTTAAATTAAAAATAAACCTAAGCAAAGTATTAATTAATTGTGATGTCGATACAATGTATATTTTCAAGACAATATAGTAGTTAGTCTTTACGACACGAGTAGAAAATTTAATGCACGAGCCTTGGCGAGTGCCTTAAAAACTTCTTGTCGTAAAGACTACTAACGCGTGTTGCGTACACTACTTTACCTACGACCGTTTTTTAATTACTAAAAATCTAGTTTTTTTATTACTAACAATCACTACTCATAACTTCCTAGAGAGGTTATGTTTTCGTTTATTGTCATTGTCACTGAAAGTGATGCAACGACTTATTGTTTAATCAGCTGATTTAATGTAATTACGTGTTTGTAAAATTTCGTTAAATAATACGAGCTTCTTCTAGCAGCATTCTCACCATAAATACTCTATCAGGTACAGTTAGGGAAATATTGCATATTTATTTGGACAACTGAACAATTTAGTGAAACAGTTAATTTACAGTTAGATCTCACATCGAATATGAGGTCCACAACGAGTTGGGTGAAACAACGGTTAAGAGGTTTTCAAAATAAACCAGAAGCTCATTGTTATTTAACAATCTAACCTTATTTTGTTTCGTCCATTTAATGAATTGCTGGTATGCAATTTCATACATTTGTTTCGATTTTGGTGGCATAAGATTAGCACAAACAGTTTGTGCTATCATTTCCATCTCGTCAACTTCACTTTCATTAAAACAGAAATTTTTAAATCAGTTTAATCTACCTTCCTTTAACCACCAACTTAGGTTAAAATTGCGCGACTATCAACAGGAACATTGAACAAGACGGACCAACAATTAAAATTGTCAACTGATCAGCTGATCAGCTGATTATTTGACGTTCGAAGTATTACAATAATTGTACTTCTTTTCTCTCAATACTTGAACCTCATTGGTCCGTTACCCGTGTTGTTATGAGAAAAACTATGCTGTTATGAAATGAAACTATACTGTTATGAAAGTATACAGCTGTTAAGTGAAACTTTTCAATTCTAAGAACTGAACTGAAATGGCTACTTTAAAAAACGGTCGTAGGTAAAAGTATTATTATTATTATCCTTTCGAAGTTTATGCGACAGAGTAAGCAAAGCCTTATTCATAGTATATTTATAAATATGATTGCGTCACAGCCATATATATATATATGTATATATGTATATATATATATATACATATATATATATATATATATATATAGTGACTGCAAGCCTTGTTTGTGGCCTCATGGCCAAACAATAGTGAGGAAACCTCTGTTTTCACACTCCAATTCTCACGTCCACAATACTAGATTGGTTCATTTTACCCGTTGGTCACATGCTAGACTGATTATTCCGAGTGCTACGTTTAGTTCTGATCTGAAGGAGTGTAACAATAAATCCAAATCGTTATAATATACTTCAATGCCTACTTTAATACTTTTCAATTAAATGGTGACCATACAAAGTAGATATTTTAAGCCAATATGAATCTGGTGTAGATTAAACTGACTACTCGATTACAGATTCATCACCAGGACAGCTCAAGATACAGGACAGTTAATGTAAGTTCCTGTCC